AAAATTATAAATGCAGAAAGAAATGGCTCTAGAGCAGCATCTGTCAGCAGAGTTTTAAGACCAGGAAGATAATTAAAACTGAAAATTCAACAGAAAAAATACTTTATTTTATTATAAGACATTGATTGAGTTATGCTAAAATACTTTAAACTCAATTGAACTAAATAAATCTATATATAGTAAGAATAAATGAGCTTGTTACAAGGTTTTGAATGTGATAAATGTATTTTACAAAGTTCGGGTCCCTCAAGTTATATCACATCATACCAGTGGCAAAATCTATTCACCAAAGTTAACCTGTTTTCAATGTTTTAGACTAACCTATGATCAATCTTAAATGGCGCAGACTATGCTATACTTAATGACGTTCAACTAAGGCCACAGTTAATCCATTGCCGGTACTTGTATTTTAGTTGAAAACATCTTGATCCTTCTTTATTCAAACTTCAAGTGCACCTGAATGTTATGCAGCTTCACGGTTGGCCCTGGTGCATGCAGGACAGCACCCCAGTAGATTTTTAAGCCTTCGACGATAATTTCCACTAAAAATGAGACAAATAACAGGGTTAATGGCACAGTTCAAGTGAGCCAGAGAAACGGCAACGGCTGCAAAATGTTGGAAGCCACAAGACACTGTCATAGTGCTGTCTAGTGGATAGAAGAGAAGCAACCACCGGATAGTGACGGGCATCCAGCATACTGCGAATGTTGACACGATGGCAATGGACATCTTCAGCACATTTTTCTCTCTCCTCAAATGTTGTGCTCTTGCGTTGGCTGATTCCTCGCCTGGAATATTCTGGGATTTAAGTTTTAAAAAAATTGCAAGGTAAAGCGTGGCAATCAAAACCAAAGGGAAATACCAGAATACTACGAGCATTGGCACTCCGTAATTTCGGAAAGGAAAGGACTCCCCAAATGTGCCTTTCCATTTGCGCTCACATGACAACCGTTCTGGTGACTCAACAAGTTTAAAGGTCAACAGGTCTGGGATATGGACAACGGTACCAATGATCCAAGTGGCGAGAATAAAGAATCGACACTGCTTTGAACTGATGAGTGGGGAACGGAGGGGAAACACTACTGCTCCAAATCGATCCACTGCTATCAAAACCAGGCTCTGAACAGATACGAGACCGGAGATATTTGGAAAGAAAGGCCTCAGCTTACACAAGGCTTGTCCAAGATGACCATCAATCAACCAGGATCCGGTGTTAATGTTTATTACGATGTACGGAGACTGGAAAATCGGAAACAGCAGATCTGACATAGCCATGTTTACAATAAAGAAATTGATTGGTCTTTGCATGGATTTGGTCTTGAAAACAACAGTTCCAATGGTGATATTTCCGATCAGGGACACAACAAAAATTAGACAGTGAAAGATGGACATTCCGATTATTTTAGCTTCATGGTTGAAGCAGTTGGATGTTTGTGTTCCATTCATTGTTGCTGTCAGGTTTGCGGACATCCTTGAGGCCGAGAAGTCAGTGTCTGCGGCTGCTGTTCTCTAACTTTAGCAACTGCCTTTACTCTTTCAGTGGATAAAACAAACCTGATCAGGATTCGCTTTATTTTTCCAGTTCCTGGCAAATTGGAAAGTGAATTAGTTTGTAACACAGTTTAATTTTAATTATGTGATGGTCGTAATTTACAAAGTTTGGGTCCCTCAAATAGCATAGCTCGGTAGAAAAATTTATTTACTCCTCAGTTAACCTGTCTCCAACGATCTAGACTTCACTTGTGAGCAGTTTTAAAAAGTGGGAGACTATGCTCTACTTAACACAGTTCAACTAAGGACACAAAAAAATTGATTGCCGATACAATCCTCTTTCAATCTCTTTCAAGCGAGAATCGTGCGGGCCATAAATCCTTAGCGGGAAAAAAGAGGTTCAGTCACTAACAGCACGGATAGAGAAAACGAGGTAAGTAAAATATTAATTTTATCTCTGGATACAAATAGAGAGGGAGGATTTCATTACTTTTATCTTACTCACAGGCGACGAGGGGCTCACTTAAAGAGGACGTACGTATGCTTTTCCTTTTCGATGGCTGAAAGGCCATATGCGAAACGAAAAGCGATGAGTGACATATGTAAGAAACAAATACCCAACATTCGTTTCGGGTTTAGCGAAACGTCACTGTAGCCTCGTATATGTAGCATAAGGAGGTTTTGCAATATAATGGTTTTAACTTATGAAGGTCTATACAAAGAAAATGGATTCGTAATACTTAGTTAATATTTTTTTTTAGCCCGTGCTTTATCAGGATATGTAACCGTCATTGATTTCTAGGCGTAATTTTCATTTTCATTCATGTCAACACACACCTGGGGGTGGTCCGAGTACGACAATCTATAAGTAGACCTCGAGATATGCCAGCTTCACTTCACTTGGACCAGATGCCTCTGTCCTATTATTTTCTCTTTTCTCAGTATTCAAGAGAATATAAACAGTTTATATTGTCATGCGGTAATTTCTATGGATCGAACTTTTTGTCGGCCAAATTTTAATAAAAATTAAAACGACCAGAAGAAAGGTGGTCGGGGCTTGCATACTGGCCATGATTTAATTTCGCACCCTCCATTCAAACGCAAATTCACTGGTTATTTTTAGTCTTACAAACTATTTTCATATTAATGAAGATAGTTAAAGTAAAGTTTCACATTTTACTGCTCTCAGACTATTTTCCTTTTTTCATGCGATAACTTTACCGGGTAATTCATACAAATTAAAAAATTGATAAAGTGTCACAACTTTAAGAATAATTTGGTCGTTGTGGTTGTTTAACAAAACAGCTGGTTTTGTTTAGTGGATGATATGCTGTTCTTTGTTATGCCTCAAAGATCCTGAAAACCTTTTCTGCAAAGCGCTTTTGAAGACTTCAAATGTGGTTATTTGAATTAAGATGGAATTGGAGAAATTGGTTACCGACCTTTTTCTTACGATCGTTCTTTTCCCAACGCCATTCATGCCAAAAAATTGAGTTGAAAGTGATGATATAAAATGATGTGGCCATGTGGTGAATAATAAAACTGGTTTTTTTTTTACATCAAAGGAGTTCGTCATACTTTCCAACATGTGGTTTCAGAATTTTTTAGGATGCGTAAGGAATAAAAAAATTATTCGACAGGCTGCTAAATTGAAACAGGGTTTTCGATCACGTCAGAGCTGACTCGTTTGGAAATATTCACACGCATCTTAAACAAAATTGCATGAAATTAGTAAGAGGATTATCTATTCGCAACTTTAATCTTTTCAGCCACTGGAAATTAACGGCATCAAAATATGGAATCATTCAAATACAATTCATAACTCGTATTTTTTGTTACAAAACACAAGAAGATAACATAATGTTTTATTCAAGATATGATAATTTCTTTGCCCAAGAAAGTAATAAAATTTAACTTTTCGCTAAATTTCAGCTGACTTATAAGATTCACGCAGCCAAACCAGGAGCGAAATAGCTCACAAGGTAATAGCGTAACAAAGAAAGGTAAAATCGAACGAGATCTGTAACACCTCAAAACAGGTTAAATCTGATAGGCTTAATGAATATTGTAAAGACTCAGGAGATGGTAAATCAGTCACAAAACGTGCACTATATAGCCAAATGGGAGTCAAAAACTTCGCGAAAATCATCTTGAAGACTGGTTGAAATCATTTATGCGGTGCCACAAAACGTCAATCTCAGCTGTTGGGAATTACATTCCTTTTTTCGGTTTCGCACGTTTTAAATGCAAATAACGAACGAGAACAATATTCAGTCCTTTTATCCAAATGAGCTTGGTCATTAGCGCATATTAAATATCAATGTCAATATGGTCATGTTGGTAATGTTTATTCACCGTTGACGTGTCATTTTTAAGGCAAAAGATTCTCAAATAGAGTAGTTTCCCAAAATACCGGAACGAGGAACCCTCGATTGAAATTTGGCCATACAGATTATACTAGACGAGAAGAGTGTACTATAACTCTCTATCACTTGTGAAAGGGGAACCAGAGAACAATTGACGAAACCCCGTAAAAGTTTACCACAGAAGCCATGAAATAATGCCTCGAATGATACAGACTCATCCAGCTCTTAACTAGGAGATCAGTAACTAGCAGAATATAGCGTGAGTTACCGCGATCATGTGTACTCGGTGCAATCGATCACTTTAGCGCAAAGCTACACAAACTAAAACACGAGGAAATTGAAAGAAAACTTAGAACGGAAGATGCTTAACGTTTTGCAGACGTTCAACTTATAAATTGAAAAGGGAAAGCTGTCTCTAACAGTTGTTAATCTACTCAATGTTTTAATTGCGGACGCCATGGGTAATGACTTATGTGTGACAATAATGAGTTTGAGGTTCTGACAGCTCTCAGCCCCTCATGCAAAAATCAACACAAGATCTAGAAATAGTACCTCTTAATTTTCCTTGTCAACAATTTTACCTTATTTTACGATAAGTCGGATAATAACAATTCCCAAAATCTTTCCCAAAAACACATTAGCATTGAAATATAACGAAAATAAAAGAGTACCTGTGAAAACAATGTCTTTGATGAAGATCTCTCACGGAAGTCGATTAATGAACATATACTGGTTGATTAATAATCGTCCAGAGAAATCTATGGTCTCTACAACTGCAGCATTGAATTGAACCCCAACAGAACAAAATTTACTTACTTAAAGCTCGGAAAGAGTCTTGAACCACAGAGGATGTTAAAACCTGAAAGTCTTTTCGGGTCCGAAGTTCTCCTTAGAAACGAAAATTACTTTGAATTTCTAATCATTTAGTTATCAAAGCAATATTTTCAGTGAGAATTAAAATTCATTTCACGTTCGCGTCTGAAGAGTTAATTACGTTTGTGTATATTGTGCTGTTATGCACTCTCTTTGTCGTCGTCAAGGCCGTTTTTCACTAATAAATTTTTTTAAAAATGAACCTTCTTAGAGGCGTGTTAACTAGCCTATTGAATGAATAGCTACAAAGTTTGTTGGTGAGAGACATTCAAATTTTATTCCCACAAAGCGAAAGAACTGAAAAGTGTATTCCGTGCAAGGTGCCAAATTGCTAACGCGTCATGATAAAGAACAAATAAGAGGGAATATCGTCCTTAACAATGAACTTCAGATTAAAGAAAAAAAACCGGATTTCCTTAAATCGACATTTGTTTAACAAGGACTTCTCTGAACTTGTGAGGAACACTTCAACGTTTAGTTTTTAGAGTGAAGGTTTTGCCCAATTTTTTTCTTTTAATTACTGGCCAGCGTTTTATCGTCTGAAAATGCAGAACATTATTAATGTTTTTGAATCGAATTAAACTCTTTAAGTCTCTATATGATTTATGAGCTGAGCAAAGTTGCATTTCAAATAAACTTTTCTCGGAATGATTGGCCCCGGCGATGAGGGTAATCCTGAAAACATGCAAGTGACGGAAACTGATGTTGCGACAAAAATGAGCGGGAGCCATTACTTGAGTCAAGTGGAGAGGTGTTTATCTGTCGATGTCCAGTGTTTTGGCTAATGTGCAAGTGAAAGAAATCCCCTGAGACAGCTTGAATGTTAGAGCTCTTTAGAGTTGCAGTAAACTTCGCCCACCGCTTTGATTAAAATTTGGCATAATAAATTTTGGCACTGCGAATATTTACTCAATAGTTGAATTCAATGAATAGGCGTTTAAAAAGATAAACTTCAAATATTTTGTTTTGTGCATAATTACCTTTTATAGAAAAACGTGACATAACCGAGTCTGTCCGAATGTTTATGTAAATCAACTTCAATATCTTTTCATTGAATGTAAATACAGACGCAATTTATCATAGCTCCATAGCAAGTTTTGAATTCATTGTGGACTTTCAACAAGTTACGTAAAAGGTGGTGGGAGCGAGCATCACTTAGAAAATAGCCGTGATTCATAATGGTAATTGAACTGAGTGGAGTGGCATTTGTCTAAGTGACCACATGATTTCGAGTGCAATCTGGAATAAATAAACACAAGTAAATTTTTTAAAGACTAACAAAATTGTACGAGCCCGTAAGGCGAGTGCAATTTGTGGTCTTTGAAAAAATTAAGGCGCAAAGAAGTTCAAAGTCCGGCTAAACAGTTCAAGGAATTGTTCAGTTTGTGTTCGCCTCATTTTCGATGAAATGGAATCGTCGTTTCCGAGGTTTAATCATGTTTGTTTTAATTTCGGCGTTGGATCGCTAGAGCAAAGTGTTAAGCTGGGTCGGCTCCTAATTTTCGATTTCCTTAGCAATTCCTTTCGCTAAACACCACTTTTTCCAAACCGACAACCAAAAAACAGTGCTTTTTACAGTGTTTTCGTTGTTTGAGCTGTTTTTCAGCCTCGGTGGCGAAAGAAAACCTACCTAAAACGCTGGCCATTGTTTCGCCCGCAAATTTTCAAATATTGTTGCGACATCCAAGGCTCGCATTTGATTGGCTGTTTGTGAGTTTCCTTGATTATTGACCAATCAGA